AAGGAGATACGCTGTCTCGGTTTGTTATAGTGTCCATTGTCACTGACACAGAAAGTAAAGGAAAATCCTGAGTTGACTCGAGAACAGGAACAGAGGGGAAATTGTCTGATGGGGACACTTATTCCATAGACAGCCATCTAAGTGGGGGTTTCCCTCACTTTGGAGACATTTCTTATCATTGTATGTGTCTATAGGGCAGTAAGTAAAGGAAATGGGACACCGATGAAAAAGAAAATCTAACAATAGTATTTTGTGTCACTTTAAGTATAATTGCAGGAATTATTTTGGTGGTATGTCCCTTTAAAAAGCCTTGCTGCGTAGCTTTGCTGGAACATGCGACAGATTTGGGGAGTTCCTAATAGTGGCACTTTTCAAAGTGGTGCTATGGTTTCATCAAATTCAAAAGAAGAATTGCTCAGTTTGTAGATAACAAAACCCCTCCCTGGTTCTCAAAGACACTGTTGGCAACTTGTAACGCTGACTGTGGGAAGAGCCTGATGGGAAAACTGAGGCACTAGTTCCCCATCAGGTCTACTCTCTCCTTGTGACTGACAGCAGACAGGCTGACTATTGGCAATGAATTCTACCTACAGCTGACTGTCAATCACAGGGAGAGAGAAAACTGATGGGGAACTAGTGTCTCAACGTCTCTATAAGGCCCCACCCAGATTTAAAGTGGAACTAAACCCTCCTATCGTTTTCAGCAAAGGAAGCTGCCATCTTAGCCTCTGTTTGATCTTCAGCTGCCAGGATGTTGCACATGTGATCAAATGTGACACCAGCCATCTGATGGTTTGACAATTTGGTTGAGAACACAAGAAAATGTGACAGTTAGCATTCCCAGCATGCCTTAAATGTAACTGTTTTTTGAAGCCGTTAAATCAATTAGTTTGTTTCTGTTTTAAAGTGGAACTAAACCCGTCTTTACTTTTCAGCCAAGGAAGTTGTCCTGAAAGCCTCTGTTTAATATGCAACTGTCATGGTGTTACACATGTGATCAGTTATGGCAGCAGCCATATGATGGTTTGAGGCCCCATTCACACTTGATTCTGCCTGCAATCTAAAAATGCTCTGCACAAATGACAAATAGTACCACGCCTTTTCGGGTGCCATTCATTTTCAATGGCACCAAAATGCGGTGCGGTTCAGCCGCAATTGTCGCATGATAATTTCCATTGTGCAGAGCTTGCCGCTCAAAAAGGAGCAGAAGCACCGCACTGCATTTTGATGCCTTTGAAAAAAATTACATTACCCAAATTGGTGTGGTGCGATTTATGATTTGTGCATTTGGGATCGTGGGCAGAATTGTAGCGATTCTACCCCAAGATCACAAAACACTCAAATGGGGACTGACAGTTTGGTTGAGGTGTAAGCAGATGTGAGAGTTAGGGCTCATGTATACTGATACTGCAGCTGCTAAACTGACATTTGGGAGAAGTTGTGCATTTTTTTCAGCAGCTTCTGAACTCTCCTTTATGTTTTCCTATGTGTCCATGTACACATCGTCGTTTACAGTAGTTTACAGGCAGTTGAGGTCACAGGCATTTTTTTGAAAGCACAAAAATCACGTTCAGGAGTAGCGTTTACCGGTGTGCTGCATTATTTCTGCACAGAACTGTACTGGAACACATCAAAACAAAGCATAGTAAGAATATAAAAGAGGAAGAAGTATAAGAAAACATCAACAAAACAAAAACTTGTATAAGTGAGCATAGCAGACTCATTATCTGGTGGAGTGTGTAGTGTACCTGCGAGAGAAGTATAGGGGCTCACTCTTCCCTGCTAATGCGGAAGTACAAGGAGTGTTGTGTGCACTCTAGAATGCATCTGGAGGCATTACAGTACTATGTAGCTCCTCCCACAGTGCCAAGCATGTTTCACCAGCCACTTTTGCTACAGTTGCAACAACCATCAAGAAATAGTGCTCTCTCTGCTTCTGCTCTCTCTATTCCTCACAAAATGTCTGAAATAGTTAATTATTCACTGTTTTTCAGTGCATTCTGGGCATTTGGGAGGGTCTCCTGAGGTTATCTTTTAAAAACGCTTCTAAACGCTAACGCACATAAATACAGTAGGTAAACGCAGCTAAACTGACGTTTTTAATCTATGTTTTCTAGCAGTCATTTTTCAGAAAAGTTTTTCAAATGCTCCCGTGCACATGAGCCTTTAGCATTCCCGGAATACAGGAATGTAACTGTTTTTTGGAACTGTTAAAATTATGAGTTAAGTTCCACTGTAAAGCTCCTCATCACTACACTGTCTGTTTAGCAGTTGCAGTGGTGGGCGGATGCTCTGCTGCACTGAGGATGAAGTGTCTATATCAGGGGCCCCCAAACTGCGGCCCGGGGGTTGGATGCAGTCCTTTGCTTGCCTTCATCTGGCCCTTGAGGCACTATTTCTTTCACTGACACTAACAATGGGGCACTTTATCTCCTACAGACACCAATGATGGGGCATGGTTTAACCCTACTGATGCCTGGATAATTTCTACTCCCATTGGCCACACTCCGGTCCCACTAAAGTCTGAAGAACAGTCAACTGGCCCTTTGTTTACAAAGTTTGGTGACCCCTGGTCTTTATGCTTGCCATGGATTCATGTACCTGTTTCCAAGAGGCACATGAATTTGAGGAAAGACACAACAATTGTAACAATTTGTGGATGCTTTTTATAAATTTCCTATAATGTGTGCTTAGGCATAAGCCAAAGTATCAGTGGGTGGTCTGGTGAAAGGATGGATGGTGCCATCAAACAAATAGCCTAAATATTAAGGTATCATGAGCACATCATGGTGAATAAACTATAAACAGGACATTTATTCATCAACAGCACGTTTCGGGGCCTCTGGGGTCCCCTTCCTAAGGAAGCAGTGACCACTATGGTGGTGAATAAATGCCCTGTTTCTATTTATCTACCATGGTGTGCTGGTGATACCTTGTTGCTTTATCAGACACCAATGATGTGGCATTGTTAAACCCCACTGATGCCTGGATAATTTCTACTCCCATTGGCCACACTCCAGCCCCTCTAAAATCTGAAGAACAGTAAACTTGACCTTTGTTTAGAAAGTTAGGAGACCCCTGGTATATATGCTTGTCTCAGATTCATGTACCTGTTTCCAAGAGGCACATGAATTTGAGGAAAGCCCAAACAATTCTAAAGATTTGTGGATACTTTTTATAAATGTTCTACAATGCGTATTTAGGCATAGGCCAAAGTATCAGCAGGTGGTCTGGTGAAAGAATGGATGGTGCCATCAAACAAATTGCCCAAATAATAAGGTATCGTGAGCACATCATGGTGGATAAAATATAAACAGGACATTTATTCATCAACAGCAAGTTTCGGGGCCTCTGGGGTCCCCTTCCTAAGGAAGCAGTGGCCACTGTGGTGGTGAATAAATGCCCTGTTTCTATTCATCTACCATGGTGCTTGTGATACCTTGTTGCTTTATCAATGAAGGACTTAATGTATACATACAGAATAATTGCTAACAGACATTCTATGAAATTAGAATCAAATGCTGAGCTGGAGAAATATTACGTTCTCTCTGCTGATGTAGCTTTCATCAAGTGTACCACAACTGCACTGAAGTTTCCTATCCTCTTTTAGACCATTTTAGAGCAAGAATTGATTATATACTATGTCCATTTTTTATTTCAATTTCATGTATTTCTTATATTTGTTTAAAATTAAAGAGAACTTTCTTGAAGGTAAAATCTTTTTTTTTAAGTGGTTCTAAAGCTAAAATGTTTGTTTACATTAATGCATTGTTTGTATCAATCCAGCGCTGCGCCCCTCTGCAGGGCTTGTCCCCTCTCTTTCTCTTCTCAATGGAAGTTCATGCAGCAGTGGGAGTCTTTGGCTTTTGCTGCTTTCAATCAAACTCTGTGAACAGAGGGGGTGGGGCCAAGCTGTGTTGTGTCCGTCTATGGACACGCACAGCCCACCTCGGGAGGGAGCCCACGTCTACCCCCATAGCAAATAGCTTGCTATGGGGGAAGACAGCACCAGCGGGGGACCCCAAGAGAGAAGAAAGGGGGCCATTTTACACAGAGCAGGTGAGTGTAAGATGTTTTATTATTTTAACACAAAAAATGTACATGTAGAAATGTAAGTTTTATTGCATCCCTTGTATTGCTTTCTTTGCACAGCATTTATTTTGCTACAATGTATTGGTATGGGTATTGCACTGTATATGATTACTTCCTGCTCTAAAATAGTCTTTTTAAAAACCAACTTTTAAAAGTCTTTTAAAACGCACCCACTGTGGTATTGCACAGAGTGGCCCCGATCCACCTCTTCTTGTGTTCCCCGCTGGTGATCTTGGCTCCTCCTCTTTTTTTTTGTGCAAGTGGCTTACTATGGGGGGGCGCACAGTGTCTGCGTGCTTCCGACCTGTGTGTCTATGAAGCCACGCTCCATAGACTTACACATCGGGACTTAGCCCTGCCCCCCCCCCACTTCCTACTTACTGCATTTGATTGACAGCAGCAGGAGCCAATTGTGCAGGGGCTGAATCCCTTTCTTCTTAAAGAGCGACCTTTATCACCAGTATTATTCTAATGAAAGCTGCATGTTTAAAAAGATTGAAATTACATTGATATGTTAAAGCTCATAAGAGATCATGATCGGGTTTAATTGTTTCAATAAAAGTTAAAGTATAAGTACACCTCAATCACTAAAATCTCAAATAGGCTTTAACATGTTTAAGTAATTTCAAAAGTAATATTTTTAGTATGCAGCTTTCTTTAAAACATTACCTGGTGATTATGCCATAAAGGTTCCTGTTATAGAGTGACAACGCTGTGTACCTACCTTTCCCTTGTGATCCTGCATTGTCACCCTGTTAAACGGGTTTCTGATGGAGACTCAATGGGGCTTCAATTTGTCTTCTTTCCCCAATGTAGAGCATACAGTGGAAAACATATTAGCAACATGTTGATGCCTAGAGTTACATGTTATCTTACCATTTTATCGTCATGTTTTTGCTTTCCACCAGTGCCATTTAAACTGCAGGAAGGAGAAGTTCGAATCATATCCTTACAGCGCTGTCAATCCTATTTTGACACCATAACATCCAGAATGCTTTGTGCTGGTTATGAGTCTGGTACAGTAGACTCCTGTATGGTAAGTTACTGTTGGATGATCTTATTTTTTCACATCTATCTGCTGGCCAAGACAGAAGATCATTACAGCAGGTCCTGAGACCTGAGTCCTGAATGCAGTATTTTAGTGAAGGACAGAGTGCATGTAAGCAAATGTATGCTTTTGCTCATGCAGGGCAAAAAAATAGCTTTACAGCATTAAAGTGGTTTGAAACCGAAAACCAAAAATGTAATATATTGCAGCTTACCAATTAGATATGGTGACTCCATTAGTTACCTAATGATCTGGCCAGTAACATGCCTCCTATATTAGACTGTCCCCACCCTGAAAGAAGGAGCACAGGGGCATCTTTGGCCAACAGCACTGATAATCTGATGGAGGGGAATGTTAGACATACTAGTAGATTTAGATACACTAACAAATTGAAGCCCAACTCCAGCTAACAATTTACAAGCCATTACAGTTAACAGTTTTTTCCTTTTGGAGTTAAGGTTTTACATAAATAAATACAAATTGACCATTGTTAGCACCCCTGTCAGTGGTAAATCGTTTTGTCTCAACTCTGTAGCTGATACATCTATCTGCAAGAGAGCTTGTTCTTTTGAAAATAAATAGATTTATTGGGCAGATCACCAGGTGAAAATAAGGGAAAGAAAGCCTAAAAAATGAAAACTAATGAAGTTAGGGATACCAGCAGAGAGGATGTGAATATGGTAAAGATTACTTAAAGCAGAACTCCAGTTTTAGAAAACTTTTAAATATACTCACCCCAGCACAGTTCCCTGCCCAAGGCTCTGTCCTCCAGCAGTTTGTGATCCTCTTTCAGGTTTAATGACTATTATCATTCAGCTGACCTCCTCTAAACCTAAAATGGGCACATCCCCTAGGAGTGTAACAACATGGGTCAGAGTACTATTGCACATTGACACATTCAGAGTGCTTTTAGTGCAGAAGAAAGGACCGCCCACCGCTTGAGTAAAAGTGAATGGACCAATGACATAACTGGACCAGCAAGAGGACCTTTAAGAGGATAAGAATAACTAGATTTTTTTTTTTTTTTCAAAAACATTCCAGGGGGCATGGGAGGTAATGGGCTGAAATCTGGAGTCCCGTCATAACCATTTGTCTGCCAAGGTAGACAAAAACATATCAGCATGGTAGACAAGTGGTTAAACCAAGCTTATAGCTGCTGCTGTGTATCTTATTGGAAAGCCCTTGCTGGCTTTTAAAGCAAAGTGATCAGGCGGTACTAGAGCTCTCAAAGGCTAGATTTAGATATCCTCTCCCTCAACTGCCTTCAAGAAGAATTCCAGATATGGATATTTTTACATTTGTCCAGTATATCTATGCATATACCATACCTAGGCGATGCCCCAGGAAATGACTGAAGTGGCCAGGTCTATTACAGTGATTTCTACCAGCTTCCAGGTCTTGTGCTGAGCAGCTGCCTAGCTGCTTACTGAGTACAGAGGGTCGTTCGCTTGGCATGGGTAACATTGAGACAATGCTTTGCATTTACTCAGTGATAGCAAAGGGTTCTTTAATTGGAGAAGGTGGATAGGCAGGTTAGTGACCTCACAATCTTCACCTCGATCAGAGAGCACAGAAGGTTGCTCGCTCAGCATGAGTGCCATTTAGACCAGTGTTTCTCAATATTTTTTCAATCAAGACACACCCTTAAAAATTATGGACAGTCCTGAGGCACCCTTTAAAATTGTAGACAGTCTTGAGGCATTAGAATGGGGTGCCTCAAGACTGTCTACAATTTTAAAGGGTGCCTCAGGACTGTCCATAGACAGTCTTGAGGCACCCCATTTTAGAATGGGGTGCCTCAAGACTGTCCATAATTTTAAAGGGTGCCTCGGGACTATCCATAATTTTAAAAGGGCACCCTATTTTAAAATGTGAAAAACTATTCTAATAGTTTTTATAAAATGCAGCAACATCCACACGTAGGACACCCAACGTTAGGCGATTTATTCTTCCAGAGAAAAACACACTTTTGCACATTGGTACTGACTAGTATTCCAATGTTTCTCTTCTCCCTGTTTTTCTCCATCACTGAGTTAATGTGACCCCAGCACTGATTGAGAGGGGCAGGGGAGGGTCAAACTAGGATGCTGTGCTGGCAGCTGACATCCTCCTTATCAACTGATGATATCATTGGTTGTCAGGACACCGGCGGCTAGAAGGTCGTAAATGGTGTGCAATGAAAACTTGCAACTTTGTGTAACTAAGAAGCAGGCTTATTCCACCCACTGGCTTGTATACAAGTTTTGGGCAATTTTTAGACATTTTGCCAAGGCACCCTGGTTAAGAAAGGCTGATGTAGACTCTGCTTTGCATCTCTATGATAGCAAAGGGTTCTCTAATTGAATGAGGTGGATAGACATAATGGTGAGCTCACAATCGCCAACTCGATCAGAGAACACTGCATTCATTGAGAAAATGCTTGTTACAAGGTGAGTGACCTTGTATTCAGTAATCGGCAAGACATCCACTCGGCACTGGATCTGTAAGCTAGTGGAGGTCACTGTAGTAGTGATGTCCACTACAATCATTTCCAAGGTCCAGGAGGATCAGCAGGGCGTGGTATATATATAGTTACATTGATCTAGCTTGGACCAAAGTAACTATGTACAAATGTTCCCACCTGGAATTAAGCTGTACAGAAGAACTATTTAGCATATATCTACGATTAATACTTAATCAGGCTTATTTACTAAAATAGTTAAATATCCAGTTGCAATCAATATGAATTCTTCTGTCACCAGTTTATCTTCAGTAAATTGTAGACCACCCAGTTGCTATAGGTTATTGCACTTTATTTTTGCTGTTTGCATTATTTTATAGCATATATATCATAACTGTGCCTTTAACCCATCCTTATTCTCTGACAGGGAGACAGTGGAGGTCCTCTGGTCTGTGAACAGACAGCAGGACAATGGACATTGTTTGGTCTCACTTCCTGGGGATCAGTGTGTTTTTCCAAGGTTCTTGGACCTGGGGTCTACAGTAATGTGTCACACTTTGTGGATTGGATTGAAAGACAGATATACATTCACAGTTTTTTTGACTGACTGAAGAAACAGACGTCTTATAAAGGAAAAATCTACACTTTACAAAGACTGTTCAGAAAAACGCCTTAGCCTCCATGGAGGTTTTACATGTGCAAATATTTGTTGTGTGTACCTATGAAATTCTATATATTTTTGGTTTCAATATTAGATATTTTAGTCAAATTTTGGAACTTTTTGTACATATTTGGTCACAGTTCTGTTCCACTGTGTGAGCATTCCTAAATGACACAGGACTTCAGGAAGTGTATTTTGCTGTCATTCACAGGGGTGGGTAGGGGAGAATGTGTGGGGTAGTCCCCCTCTTTATTTTCAAATCAAATAGAATGAAATTAGTTTTAAGCTGCTGCACATATTAAATATCCTTCTTTAATTACAAGTGTTGGCCAAATGTATCGCACAGCTAAGGTATAAAGTGTCATTCTGATGTTTGTCATTTATGTCTACATCCACCATTTACCATTAAAAACTTATTTTTTGTATAAAAGATTGCATGGCACATATGATATGGGGAAAGTTGATTGAAGACAGAAATATAGGCAGATCTAAAATAGCCCTTTAAACTGACTCCAAAGAAATTTTTTGGGAGATGAACTGGCAGCACTCTACGCCAATCATAGTTCACAACACCGGAAGCAGGCTGATAGGAAGGCAAAGCACATGAGCATTGTTTCTCTATCCAGTTACATTCTGGGGCAGTTCTCAACCAAGCTGTATGTCTTTAACTGTAGCAGAGAGTGTAGTCAGAAGCTGGCTGTGTTGCCCAACAAGGAGGTCTGGGTTCAACACCTTTTGTAGGTAAGACAGTAAAAAATTAAGCTATGACTTTAAATGTTTGCCTACACTTCCACCTTAAAGCCAAACTCCAGGCTCCCTGTTCCCCCCATTCATTGTAATCTAAAGTGGTTGTAAACACTTAGCTATCCCACATGGAAGAAAAATATATTTGAAATATGTTAAAAATATTCTTCCCACATATATTTGAAATGCTACAGTTTGGGCCATATTAAAAAAAAAAAAAAAAAAATTATATATATATATATATATATATATATATATATATGGAAGAAAGGATTTCCGGGTACAATCGTACATTTTTCTGAAAGTGGATTTTCTGGCTTTGATAATTGAGGGAATCACGGAATCAGACAGACCCGTCTTGGGTTTCAATAGCCAAAGTCCAAGGAATTATCAGAGCATCCAATGCCAATGCTAGAGGATCCTTGGATTCAGGAAGTCCACATCTGGAGTTACTCATTTCTGACAGGAGACTAAAGATGTCGGTATGAAGGGTTAATTCTCTTTGGTCCAGGCAGTGATCAGCCTTCCAAATGGAATGTGAAAAGCATGGCAGCAGATGACTTGTTCTCAGTGAGCTATCAGGGCACTAATCAGCACCTTGGTAGTTCACTGACAGTTCCTGTAGCTGAATAACTGTCTGCTGGGTGGAGCAGAGAGCGCTCAGCAGTGTCTGCTGGAGCCTGATATTGCACCTGCAATCTACTGCAGGCTCAAGTGTAAAAAAAAAATAAACCACACAGGCACATTTTTTTTTAACCTGTAAAAACATGCATTTGTATTTTTTTTTTTAAGATTAACTTATCCTTTATGTACTGTATGATAAAGCTGGATCAAGAGCCAATGAACCCCCAGTGTAAGATACCTCCTTCATGGGGTACTGGTGAGTGAAACACTTCAGTAGTGTTAGTGGGACTAATTGCCATAGAACACTTGTAAGTGATAATGCACTGAAAAACACTTGATAATTATTCGTGGCCCAGGACCCGAACCCAAGTACTTTTTAATGTTTCTCCTCCTCCTGAGAGGACAGAAGATTCCTGATCCTCAGCAGCTTCCTCTTCCTGAGGAATTTTCTCCGACACCTCATCCTCTATCAGAGTTCTGCTTTAAGCATTGGACAGGTAGATTGTACTTCTCAAAGTTTAAGTTTTCTTTCTGACTTAAGCATACCTTTAATTTTTGTAGATGAAAGGTACTTGCTTAATAATAATGTAATTTAAACATTAAAGTGTTACTAGACCCACAACAGCAATATCAGTCTGTATATGCAGTCAAGCATGCTTGTTATACTCATTGAGGAACCTAAGGGGTTAATCCTCTTCATTTTGCAAAAAGGGTGTTTGATCCTATCTTTTCTGATCCTCTCCTTCTTCCATTGTCTTCAACTCATCTTCTGATAACAGAGACAGGGGTCACTCTGCACGTGCTCAGTTTAGTGTGTATGTGCTAGTTTTTTTTTTTTTTTTCCTTTGGGAAGGTGCATATGAGCAGCACAGGGCCAATTAGCACTGTACAGACAGAGGGTCAGGGGTCATTCAGCCGCACAGGGCAGTCATAGGAGAATGAAAACTCCTGCTACAAGCTTTAACCAGTACTTGGCCGGACACTGATAGAAGGCACAAGACTGCAATAACTGCTGATGAGAAAAGGTATTTATCAGTTTATATTTGATAAACTAATTGCATTTCCATGTTGTGTGTACTGTGGGAGACCAGATATAGTGAATGCAGGGTCCTGGGTTTAGTAACACTAACTCAAGAGAAGCATTACTGACTATGCAAGATATTAAGCAAATATATCACTGCACAATGTACTTTGGTTAAAAACATGAACAATCCCCACAGGAAAATGTAGCAGTGCTCATATAACCCAAACAGCCAACCATGTTAAGGGTTCATCGCAGGACAAAAGCCACCATGCAGAAGTTCATTGTCCAGAACATTTTATCAAAAGAAGACAGGATGTGTATAAATTTACAAGAACAAGTTATTAAAACAGAGCGAACAAATAGGATTAATTTTTAGAGAGCAAGATGAGTAAATTGTAACATGTCTGCAAATGTAACAGCTTCAGTGTGTATTTAAAACCCAACTACAGCTAAAACTTTTGTTTTGCATATTATAGGAAGGGTATTATTGCAATCTGTACCCCCAATAGGGTGATTTTCACTCACTTTCTTTGTGAGCAGACACAAAGGACACACTAACAACTGTTTAAAGTGAAAAAATGTGCATTCATTATTTATTGTTTTTTTACACCGGAGCCTGTAAAGCATTGCACCCACGATCAGCAGATTGCAGGTGCAATGTGAGGCTCCTGCAGACTCTCTGTATGCTGTCTGCCTGTACCACCTATACAGGGAGCAGGCAGTTAGTGAATTGCGGGAATATTTAATGAACTGCAAGAGTGCTCACAAAAACCCCCCACAGTTCATGGAGAACTACACGCCATCATCCGCAATGGCCGACGGTTCTTGAAGTTCATTCATAGAACTCTGTGAACAACTGTGATCGTGTGGGCAGAGTCCCGCATGTCTGGTCTGCATTTAAATTGTGACAGCGAGTGCAGGGAGAACATCCCTGGCACACTGTAACAGGGAGGGGAGTCTGGGGGCAGAGGAGGCAGGAGCTGGAACATGTTACATGTTCCACTCTAAATACGGGTGGAACGTAACATATTCCAAAGGTGAACTTAGCCTTTAAAACAAGGCTTCACTAAACTGCACTGCTCAAAAAAATTAAAGGGACACTTTGAAAACAGATCAGATCTCAATGGGGAAAAATCTGATGCTGGATATCTATACTGATATGGACTGGGTAATGTGTTAGGAACGTAAGGATGGCCCATTGTTTGATGAAAATGAAAATTATCAACCTACAGAGGTCTGAATTCAAAGACACCCCGAAAATCAAAGTGAAAAAATGATGCAGCAGGCATGAAATTTCATTGCAGCAACTCAGAATGGCACTCATTAGTTTGTATGGCCCCCATGTGCTTGTATGCATGCCTGACAACATAGGGGCATGCTCCTAATGAGACGATGGATGGTGTCCTGGGGTATTTCCTCCTAGATCTGGACGAGGACATCACTGAGCTTCTGGACAGTGAGGTGCAACCTGGTGGCGTCAGATGGACCGAAAAATGATATCCCAGAGGTGTTCTATTGGATTTATGTCAGGCGAGTGTGGGGGACATTCAATGGTATCAATTCCTTCATCCTCCAGGAATTGCCTGCATACTCTCGCCACGAGGCCAGGCATTGTCATGCACCAGGAGGAATCCAGGACCCACTGCACCAGAGTAAGGTCTGACAATGGGTCCACAGATTTCATCCCGATACCAAATGGCAGTCATGGTGCCATTGTCTAGCCTGTAGAGGTCTGTGTGTCCCTCCATGGATATGCCTCCCCAGACCATCATTGACCCACCACCAAAATGGTCATGCTTAACGATGTTACAGGCAGCACAATGTTCTCATGGCTTCTTCAGACCCTTTCATGTCTGTCACATGTGCTCAGGGTGAACCTGCTCTCATCTGTGAGAAGTACAGGGCACTATTGGCGGACCTGCCAATTCTAGTGTTCAATGGCAAATGCCATTCAAGCTCTATGGTGCCAGGCAGTGAGCACAGGGCCCACGAGAGCACATCGAGCCCTCAGGCCACCCTCATGCAATCGTTTCTGATTATTTGGTCAGAGACATTCACACCAGTGGCCTGCTAGAAGTCATTTTGTAGGGCTCTGGCAGTGCTCATCCTGTTCCTCCTTGCACAAAGGAGCAGATACCGATCCTGCTGGATTAAGGTTAAGGACCGTCTACGGCTCCATCCAGCTCACCTAGAATAACTTTCTGTCTCCTGAAATCTCCTCCATGTTCTTGAGACTGTGCTGGGAGACACAGCAAACCTTCTGGCAATGGCACGTATTGATGTGCCATCCTGGAGGAGTTAGACTGCATGCGTACAACTGCTGTAGGGTCCTGGTATTGCCTCATGCTACCAGTAGTGACACTGACCCTAGCCAAACTAGTGAAAAACAGTCAGAAAAGATGAATAGGGAAAAAAATAGCAGTGGCCTCCACTTGTAAAACCATTCCTGTTTTGGGGGTCATCTCATTGTTGCCCAGCTAGTGCACCTGTTGTTAATTGAATTAACACCAAAGCAGCTGAAACTGATTAACAACCCCTCTGTTACTTAACTGACCAGA